CATTTTTCGTGGGGTTCTGGTTTTCATCCTTGCCGCGTCGCACCCGCGTCTCCCGCGCACCCCCCCTCCCCCTCCTTCTCCTTCTCGCACGTCACAGCGCAGACCAGCGCAGCACAGCACAGCACAGCTCAGCACAGCACAGCACACAGCACACAGCACACAGCACACAACACATTGACACACAGCACGTACACAGCACAGCACTGCTCAGCACAGCTCAGTTCAGCACAGCACAGCTCAGCACAGCGCAGCTGCTTTCTCGACACCAGAGGGGGTGCGCAGGGGGTGGTCCCTCAGCGCGGTCTCTACACGCGCCAATGTGGCAGGGCCTAGCAGGTGTGGCATTTTCTTGACACCAGAGGGGGTGCGCTGGGGCTGGTCCCTCAGCGCGGTCTCTATACGCGCCAATGTCGCAGGGCCTAGCAGGCGTGGCACTTTCTCGATGCCACAGGGGGTGCGCTGGGGGTGGTCCCTCAGCGCGGTTTCTATACGCGCCAATGTCGCAGGGCCTAGCAGGCGTGGCACTTTCTCGACGCTGGAGGAGGTGCGCAGGGGGTTCGGTCGCTATCCGCTTCGGCCTCGCAAAGCGTGGCAAGCGTGGCATTTCTTCGACGCTGGAGGGTGTGCGCTGGGGGTGCGGTCGCTTGGCGCTCCGGGCTCGCAACGTGTGGCAGGCGTGGCTTTTTTTCGATGCCACAGGGGGTGAACTGGGGGTGCGATCGCTAAGCGTTCCGGGCTCGCAACGTGTGGCAGGCGTGGCTTTTTCTCGATGCCAAACGGAGTGCGCTGGGGGTGCGGTCGCTATCCGTTTCGGCTTCGCAAAGAGTGGCAGGCGTGGCACTTTGTCGATGCCACAGGGGGTGCGTTGGGGGTGCGGTCGCTATCCGTTTCGGCCTCGCAAAGCGTGGCAGGCGTGACAGTTTCTCGGCGCCACAGGGGGCGCTGGGGGTGCGGTCGCTATCCGTTTCGGTCTCGCAAAGCGTGGCAGGCGTGGCACTTTCTCGACGCTGGAGGGTGTGCGCTGGGGGTGCGGTCGCTATCCGTTTCGGCCTCGCAAAGCGTGGCAGGCCCGGCACTTCCTCGACGCCACAGGGGGTGTGCTGGGGGTGCGGTCGCTATGCGTTTCGGGCTCGCAACTTGTGGCAGGCGTGGCACTTTCTCGATGCCCCAGGGGGTGCGCTGGGGGTGCGGTCGCTATCCGTTTCGGCCTCGCAAAGCGTGACAGGCGTGGCACTTTCTCGATGCCACAGGGGGTGCGGTCGCTATCCGCTTCGGCCTGGCAACTCTCATCTTGATTGGCGTCACCAACGGTATCGGCGGGGCAGCGGCCACCAACATCATTTCACATGCTTCACTTCAGCAATCATCACTCCAGCCATAATATAAGTATGTGGCGTTCCTCGGTCGCGTCATATTGTGGGTGGCAACGGTGCGCACCCGGCATCTATTTTGGTCACCAAAGCTCCTGGCCAGGACCGAGGGGTGTGTCATCCGCGCAAGTGTCTCAGTTATGGCCGCAAGAGTGGTTCGCCATATTTGTTAGTCGACCCAGAATGTTTCGTTCGTGGACTATCGCGGTGGGGCGCCTTCAGCAGGTCCCTCCAGAGCATGGGCCCAGATGGTTCGCGGGCCCGCGTCGGCAGTCATAGTCGGCAGCTGGTGGCAGTGCTGAGAGGGCGTCGTCTGTCCGAGCTCCTTGCCACTGCAGTGGCTGGCGGGGCATGCATGGTCAAGGGGGAGGTGGGCTCGGATGGCGACCAAACTTGAAGTATCGCCCATGCGCGCTCGCTGTCGCGCTAAGGTGGAGCTCCCATTCCATCGCATATGGGCCTGTGCCGACAACGAGGGTACACCCGCAGACCATGGCGCAGCACGAAGCGGATCCCTGCTTTTGGCTGCGCGGTGCCATGCCTAAGAAATTCACTTCAGTACTTGAGCCTCCTGGTAAGGAGACTCGGTTACAAAGTGGTTTTGATTGTGGCGAGGTATCTGAGGGAGTGTTGGGTGCAGGCTGCGAGAACCAACCGGTTCTCCTCTTCGGCGATGCCAATGGTGGGCCCGATGCGGAATGCTTAGATTTCGTCGGATTGGATTGGGCGTGGTGCAGATGGCCAGCGAGGATAATTTCATTTCGCGAACACTCGTGTTGGGGTTTTACCCGGTCTTGTGCAATCGATGCCTCGTGGTGAATGATGCACGCCGTGGGTTGCTCTTCGTCTCGCAACCAGATTCGTCGCGCATGTCGCCGACAACCTCGCGGCGCATGGCGGATGGCGGGCCAGACGTCACGAGGAGCCATCAGGTGAATATGCAGAGTCGTGGGCAAGGATGTGTGTGATATTTCATAATGGAAGAACGCCTGAGGATTTTACAGCTCTGTGGGCTCAATCGCAGCTGGAGGCAAAGGATGTGGTTGTTGATCGTAAAAGTGCTTCGTGGATGGTTTTCGGCAATTGGGGTGCCGATGAGTGCGCGGGCGAAGGCGCCAAGCTGGCTCGAGTGCCGCGTGCCATCAGATCGAGTATTCTGGGTAATTAACGCGTGCTGTACATGGTGAGAGCGAGGATCTTGCGGTCGCACCTGGACGCGCTGGAGGCCGAGAAGGAGCTGAACGTAAGCCAGCGGCCAGGCAGGCACCCGCGGACGAGGGATGCCAGAGGCCGCGAGGGAGAGGGGAGCGACCCCCGTGAGTCGGACCTCCTCCTCCTCCTCCTCCTCCTCCTCCTCCTCCACCTCCCACCCTCCTCCCTCCACCTCCTCCTCCTCCTCTTCTTCTTCCTCCTCCTCCTCCTCCTCCTCCTCCTCCTCCTCTTCCTCCTCCTCCTCCTCCTCCCCCTCCTTGTGGCCGAGGCCGCGTCTGTTCTCTCAACCGCCTACGTTCTCACCGATTCTGGGAAGAGTTGTCGCCGTTGTTGGGGCTCGGCGTCGGCCGCCCGCGTTCGGGCGTGGCGTAAGACGCTGTGTTTTCGCCTCGCGGCTCTCGATAGCTCCCTCCGCGCACTCCCAGGTGGGGTCGCCATTCACACTGCTGGGTGGTCCACCACTCCCATCGTATGCGGCTGCATCAGGACTTATGACTTCGGTTTTGTGCGAGCTGGGGGATGTATGGGGATACGCAGTTGCTCTGTTTAGAGGCTGAGTTATTGTCGTTACCCGCTACGAGTCGTAAGCAGTACTCAAGACGCAATAGCTTGGGACTTTTGCCTAAGGCGTATAGAAAACCGAAGTAGAGCATCAAGAGTGAAAGCCCAGAAGGGATATTTGTAATGCGTTGGTCGGACTATGTCATGGGACTCCAACTCCAACACAACAGCAATTCCTCCTCTTCCTCCTTTGCCTTCCTCCTCCCCCCTCCTCCCTTGTTCTCCGTCCGCCCCTTTCCCTTGTTCGTAACTCCTCCCTGTCGCACCCCCAGACGTGTCGGTAGTGCGGGCCGGGCGTTTCGCTTTATATATCCTCACCGTGTATGCTCCTGACGCTTGAGATGGTTACAGCTTCAAGGATGGAGGGTGGGTGGTTTACAACATGTAAATTCCTGCTTTCGCATCGTGCAGATTTGTTTGAAAGTCTGCAACAACTTCAAGGAGGGAGGGCGGGTGAGTTTTGAAAATGTTGCTCTCGGTTGATTGCCGCGAGTTTTCTCGCAGCTTCAAGGATGGAGGGTTGTTGCTTTTTCTTGTCACACTGTGATTTCCGTTGCAGCGGCGTGCACGTATGTTTTACAACGGTGTCCGGCATTCGTATGGTTGAAATTCCAGGAATGGTGGTCTGGCACGGTTCACGGTTGTCATAGCGCAAACGTCACGTCGATTCGAGGGTGCTTTGGCACGATTTGGACATGCCAGGACGCCACAGGCACGTTCTTCGCGTCGCTGAAGTCCCACGACTGGTGATTGGCATGATTGAGGGTTCCTGGACGATTGTCTTCCGATGGGGCTCTGCCCGCAATGAACATCAGTTCTTGCAGGGACCAATTCAGAAATTTCTGCAAGGGGGGGTAATTGCAACATCGTTGATGCATCTTCGGTTGACTGGTCCTCCTCCTCCTCCTCCTCTCTCTGCCACCAAATCCCTCATCTCCTAATCCTCCTTCTCCTGCGACGACGACGGTTCTGTCGACTAAGCCGACAACGACCACGACGACATCGACTCCGACGATTCCGACGACAACGTCGCCGACGACGATCACGACGGCCACGATGACGACCACGACGACGACCACGACGACAACGACGACCACGACGACGACGATGACGACGACGACGATTACGACGACGACGATCACGACGAAGATCACGACGACGACGAAGACGACGACGGCGACCACGACGACGATGATGACGACGACGATGACGACGATGACGACGACGACGACGACGACAACGACGACAACGTCGACCACGACGACCACGACGACGACTACGACGACGACGACGACTACGACGACGACGACCACGACCACGAACACGACCACGACTACGACCACGACGGCGACGATGTCGACGACGACGACGACGGCGACGACAACCACGACCAGGACCACGACCACGACGACGACAAAGACGACCACGACGACGACGACGATGACGACGACGACGATTACGACGACGACGACGATCACGACGACGACGACGACGACCAGGACGACGATGATGACGACGACGACGATGACGATGATGACGACGACGACGATGACGACGATGACGACGACGACGACGACGACAACGACGACCACGACGACCACGACGACGACTACGGCGACGACCACGACGACGACGACGACCACGACCACGACCACGACCACGAACACGACGGCGACGACGTCGACGATGACGACAACGGCGACGACGACCACGACCACGACCACGACTGCCACGACGTCGACGAAGACGACGACGGCGACGACGACCACGACCACGACCACGACCACGACCACGACGACCACCACGACCACGAAGACCCAGCGCCCCGCCCGCGCAGCCGCCACCCCGCCGCCCGAGGCGACGAGAGGGCGGCGCGGCTGGAGGAGCAGGTTGCCGGGGAGCCCGGCGCCCCGCGCGCGTGCGCTTTCGCCTCGAGGGGCCGTCGTCGTCCTCCTTGCGGTCGTGGTCGTCATCGTCGTCGTCGTGGTCGTCGTCGTGGCCGTGGTGGTCGTCGTCGTGGTGGTGGTCGTCGTCGTGGTCGTGGTCGTCGTCGTAGCTGTCGTGGTAGGCGTGGTCGTTGTCGTGGTCGTGGTCGTGGTCGTGGTCATGGATGTCGAGAACATCGCTGCTCGAACGATTGAACATGCCCCGTACTGGTGCAACACGACCTTGACGTTCGCATCGTTGTATAAACTTGAAAAGTGCGCTCTGGACCGCCCGGTTCGGGGTCCCAAGAGAGGCCCAAGAGGGATGACCCGAGCTGACATTTCGAGCCCGTCCCCCAAAGATGGCTTTGGAGACCGCCAGCAGGGCCCCAATAGGCGTCCAAGAGGCCCCGAAACAGGCACGAGAGGGCCTCAAGACGGCCCCAAGAGGTTTCAAGAGGCTCCCCAGAGACCTCCAAAATGGCACCAACAGGCCTCCGAGAAGCCTCCCAAGCGACTCGAAAAAACTTCGCAAACTGAAGCCCAGTCTACGACCCAGGCACGATGCTGGGTCTGACCGAAGGCCATGATCAATTTCCTTTTGGTATTTTCGTACTTCTGGGGATCTCACGACGACCAAAGGGAGTCCCACATTGTGCTTGAGATGGCATACGCGCCCTCCGAGAGGGCCCCAGAGGGTGTCCAGATCAGCCGCACACAGGAGGATGAGGACGAGTAGGAGGAAAGACAGGAGGGGAAGGACGGGCGGGCCCAGGAGGACGAGAGAAAGATGCTTGAGAACAGTCTCGAAGATGGGAATGAGGAGGAGGAGGAGGAGGAGGGGGAGGAGGAGGACGAGGAGGAGGATGATGAGGAAGCAGAAGGGAAGAGCGAGGGGAGTATGAGCATGAGGAGCAAGAGGAGGAGGAGGAGGAGGAGGAGGAGGAGGAGGAAGAGGAGGAGGAGGAGGAGGACGACGACCGCGGAGGCGTGCTCGCCTCCCTCGGCGCGAGCGTAAGTGAGCAAGGAGGAGGACGAGGAAAAGGAGGACGAGGAGGACAAGGTGGGGCATGTGGTGAGGCTTTCCTCTTCTGGCCCAGAGGGGATGTCGTTGTAATTGCCGTCGCAACTCTTGACCCCCATGCTTGCACACGTGTGCAATTGTTTGGCTGTCGAGGGCCAGCTCGTGGTTCTGGTGTCAAGTCGGGCGTGTCCCTCTACAGGAGGAATATTCAAACATAATGAAACATAGTCTGGGGACATTATTTCGGCGATTTTTGAGCATTTTTGGAGTATGCTTTGAATTTTGTTTTCCGCTTAAAATCCCCCTGTAGGGGAACATGCCCGACCTAATTCTAGTGATGTGGTCCAGGGCCACCCCCGTCCCCAGCACGGGCGTAGGTCCCCTTTCGAGATGCCCCCCCCCCCCCCCCCCTGCGCGGGTTGTACAGTGGAGACCCATGCCAAGAAAGAAACACCCTGCTTGCCTCCAGGGTGCCCTGGGTTTCTTGGGTTTCGATGGTTTTGCCATGGAGAGCGCGACGCTCCCACACCAAAAATCGATGGACGTCCTGGGGTCTCAGGGTTGGGTTTCTTGTGGAAGGTTTGTTGTGGTCGGGCCCCAACTGTATGGTGCGTTGCGGTGTGGTGGTTCGTGGCCGTGAGTGCGTACGTGCGTGCGTGTTCCCCACCTCACCCTGTTTTCGACTACGCTCGATCGCAATTAGCACTTCCATCTGCTGCCCGCGCTTGAGGACCCTCTGCGCCGCTGGCTTAAAAGTGTTCCCCCCCGCGGCCCATGCGGGTGTGGTGCGCTGTGCTGCGCTGTGCTGTGGTGGTTGGGACTCTGCGTGCGCTCTTGCGTGAGTGCGCGCGCGCGTTTTTCAAAACCATCATGTGGCGTCGGGTCCTCGTTTTGAAGAGACAGCGCCTCGCGTCACTCGCATCATCTCCCGCATCCTCCTCCTGCTCTTCCTCTTCCCCCTCTTCCTCCTCCCGCAGCGTCCGCATGGCGGCAGCGCATCAATTTCGGCACACTCCTCACACGCTTCGTGGCCCCATAGGGAGCCCCGCCGAAGACCCCAAGTGGCAGCGTCCGCGTGGCGGCATCGCACCCATGTCGCACAGACTTCACACGCTTCGTGGCCCCGTAGGAGTTGCATCGAAGGCACCGGTAGCAGCGTCCGCATGGCGGCACCGCACCCACGTCGGCACGCACCTCAAACGCTTTGTAGCCCCGCAGGGGGTTGCATCAAATCCGGAAGTGGTAACGTCCTGGAGGCAGCACCGCACCCATACCGGCACGCCCCTCACACATTGCGTGGTCCCATAAGGAGTTCTGCCGAGGGCCCCAATTGGCAGCGTCCGCATGGCGATACAGCACCCATTCCTGGCACACCCTTCACACGTTTCGTGGCCACACAGGGATCCCA